AAGTCTTGAAAATGGAGAAGGCAGCATTGGAAAACTTGGATCTTTGAAGCATGTCTAAATTCTGATGTTCTGTCTCTGTACAGTAGCCAGACACAAAACTAATGCCTTCCAAGCCACTGTGTTGAGCCTGACATTCTGAAGGTTTGCTTGCATAGAGGGAGGCTATGTAAAGCATGAAATGGAACATGCATCACATGGTTTTCCACTATGCTTGACATGTCCTTATGGCTGTACAGTATACGCTTAAATGCAGTCTGTGTCTCTGAGTAAAAGGGAGCGGTACTGGGCCGGTAAGCCATTAAGATTCAACTCCAGTAACTTCCAGTGTAAACCTGGCTACAAGTGGAGGATGCAGCTGGGCTAAGGAGACCCCAGAGGCCTTACTCTCCAACTTAGAGATATGTAGAGGAAACACAACGCTACACAATACAAATCCCCACGCTGCAGTTTAGCGGACGACAGCGAGCACATCCAGTCTACATGAACACATGCTACACGCACGCATGCTGGGCCCCAGTTCCGGCTGTCAGATGGCGGTGAAATAAGACAATTCCATCTCTTCAACTATTCTGTTATGACAGCAGCTACTTCCGCCAGTACATACTTTCAGCATCTTATGATTCCCTCAGTCCACAGTTACTCACATGCCTGTGTGTCCCATGTCACAACCAACCCCCCCCCCAGCACTGCATTCCTCACTTGTGTGGTGATGTGTGACAACTGACACAGCTTAGTGCCACTCACAGCTTTTGTATAAGAAAGCCTTAAAGGCAACAGGGGAAACAAGGAGGATACTGTCGCTCGCACTCTCTCTGTAGCAGTGTCAGCGCTCCCAGGAAAAAGATGAAAAGCAACTGAGAGGGTGAATGTGGTGGCAAAGTGTGTCACTAGCTGTCTTGTGGCCTTTTGTCCAATCATATGGGACAAGGGGTTTCACATCTACCACCTGTCACCAAACTTTGCTTTCAGGGGTGGAAAACTATTGAGTGTAGCAGTCATACCGGAGAGATGGGAGAGAACCTGTGCTTTACCTTGGCACACAACTCCTTCGCACACAAACACAGATGCATGCACCTCTTTGCACCTGTTGGTATTCACACCTGTGTGCCCATACACACACAATTATTTAAATTATTGATCAAACTATTATTAATATTTTTTGATCAACCAATTGTTTGCATAGTCAATAAACTGTGAAAAATAAGGACAAACACCAATCACACATAACCGGAGTTTCAATTGATGGTCATAAAGAGATCAGCTGCCATTGACCATTTTGTCTTATCAGTGCAGAAAATTTAAAGGGTTTTCAATTCATATTTTTAATCTGTAAAATATTAATTAGACAAAAATGATACAACTTATTTGGCAGTTGGTCGACAGGTAAATACAGGTCCATTTGCAACCTATCCATATACAAAAGTTTGTATGATATCTAACAAATTAGCATGAAAGGCTTAGTCACATTACGTACATAATGTAAAGCAACGTAGGTTAAGTTTAAGCAAGTAAAGTTCCGTAGGTTAGGTTTAGGCAAGTAAAGTTACGTAGATTGGGTTTAGGCAAGTAAAGTTACCTAGGTTACGTTTAGGTAAATAAAGTTAGATAGGTTATGTTTAGGTCTGCAAAGTAACGTAAATTATGTTTAAGTAAGTAAAGTTACGAAGGTTAGGTTTAGGCAAGTTAAGTTACAGAGGTTATGCTTAGGTATGTTAAGTTAAGTAGGCTATGTTTAGATAAGTAAAGTTACGTAGGTTATGTTTAGGTAAGTAAAGTTACATAGGTTATGTTTAGGTATGTTAAGTTAAGTAGGTTATGTTTAGATAAGTAAAGTTAAGTAGGTTATGTTCAGGTGAGTAAAGTTATGTAGGTTAGGTTTAGGTAAGTTAAGTTACGTAGGTTAGGTTTAGGTAAGTTAAGTTACGTAGGTTAGGTTCAGGTAAGTAAAGTTGCGTAGGTTAGGTTTAGGAAAAGAAACATGTTGACAAAGTACCTTAAAATAAAGTTTAACACAATAAAGTTTAACACAGCACACAAACGTGGATCTCCTGAGGGAAAGTCCTGTGTTTGTTTGACACATCCACCACCCCAACCTTCATCCTGATATGGAATTTTTTCTCTTTATACTACTTCTTCTTTGCTCCGCAGCACATTGGTCACATGATCACAGCCTCCCCGATTGCATGGGCTATACACACATTACTGGCTCATGATGGTGTGGGAATTCTGGTGCATCACCTTTTGTTGGTATATGTACAAAAAGTACATGAGAACAGCCTACCATATGTATACGTGCACACATAAGACTGACACCCTTATGACTAGATTTATCTAAAACAATAGCTTACATATCACAGAAACAATTTGATTTGTGACCTTTCTTGGTTTGTTTTATGATTGTAAGACAGCTAGCCAAGCTCAGAGCTAGTTTTCACATGCAGGCACAATCAAAAACATGCACATAGATATAACACCCATCACAAAAAAAAGAGAAATAACATAAAGGCACACACAATAGTAGGTCACATATTTCACATCTACTAAATGTCAATTATAGAGACATTTAAAAATCAGCTAAAGTATTTAGTATAGAAGTAAAACGCAGAGTCAGCGAGTACAGAGCAAGATTGCTTATAAAAAACAAATGTATAATTTGGCTTTAAATATAAAAAGAGTTGCAGCTTTTTATGTGATCTGGCAGAGGGTTCCTCTGAGTGCTGGATTTAACAGAAGGAGCTGACTGCCCAAATGCAGTGTGACAAAAGGGTACAGTACAATCTGTGATGGAAGATATTTTAGAGCCTTTAATGGTGTTCTCAGCAGGACAGGGAGGCATAGTCACGCAATAGAGGAAAGGCCAGATTGTTTAAAATTTTATACAAATGATACATATTTGAATAAAATCACAAAGTTCTCCAGTTTCTCTGGTGTCCCACAGCTGTGATAGAGAGTTTACATTTTATAGGTTGATATTTTATTTTAAGGCTTTACAAAACAGGGGATAATACTATAAGGAAAACTACATCATACATGATTGATATAAGATGTAGTTTGTGGGTGAAGCCGTTTTTACAACACACCAGTGGTATAGGTTGTTAGGACGGGTCCCACTGTACGCTATTATACGCATCCTAGCGCCAGACTTTGCATCTCAACTAGCTATCATATATCGTATTGTCTCATCACATGATCATAAAGAGACTTGACATTGGACATAATCAACATACATGTTATCATCATCATTGCAAATCTGTATATGGCAAAAATACTAAATAAAAGAAGAAATTATTCATTGAATTTGATAATTGTTAAAATTTTATTTATTTTTACATATATATATATATATATATATATATATATATTTTATTATGTTGTAGACTGCTATTGACTATTTCACAAAAAAAAAGAAAAAAGAAAATTTATAGCAGCATCTTTGAAAACATGCATATTTCTGAGGTGGCTATCTGAATATTTCAGTCACTTTCAAGGGCTCATTCTCTGTCCGTCCACAGAGCATTTTTTTCTCCGTGTCGGTGTCTTTTTTCAATTGTTCTCAATGAGGAGCAAGAACAAGCGATTGTATGCAGCCACCGCGCCCATTGTATTTTTATTTAAAGCGCACTTATTTTTTTGTGTGGCCACTTCAAACGCTTCGAGTTAAAAATCTCTGAGCTTTTCAGAAAGGTGCTGGTGATGTCACTGCAGCTTCTTTAGCTAGACTACTGTCTACCGTCACAATAAAGACAGAAAATCCAATTTTAAAAGTGTTGTGCCTTTATTATTGTTTGCTTTGTAAGCTTCTTTTTGACTGTGTAGTCAACCCTCTGTTGTGTTCACATCAAACACTCGCACAAGTTTGAATGCTAAAATATGTAGTGTTGACTGTCATACGCGCAAATAACTTGCATCATATGTGCGTGAAATCGTTGAATTGGTGAATGAACTTCCACCAGCGCGTCCTCAGTGTCATATGTCCCCAGAGGATCTCAATGCTGATTCTCTATCGTGGCTAGAGTTACGATTTTTCAACTCTTACAAATAAGCGTATGATGCGAAATTGAGCTACTTGCTTAATTCGGGCCACTCCTGCAAATTGTTTTATTCACACAACACAACATTAATGTAGCATTATTTTAGCTTCCTAGCTAATGTTAGGGTCAAAACAGTGTTGTCACAGTAACATACCCATGTGGAGCAAGTCATTGAAAATAGTACTCTTTTTTATGAAGCACTCTCCAGCACCCTGCCACTGCTTTTCTGCTAAAGAAAAAAGCTATGTGGACGCAGACCCTTGCACATTATTGGAGGGTTAGCTCTCTCCATGCCATACATACCCCCCACCCCATGGGCCCCAGTCCAACTGCACTGACTATATTTACGCCCCTGCAACAGTCTGAAATGTGTAACTCTTATATACTATATAGTTTAGATCTAGTTATTAATCTCAGTGGTTCTATAAGGAATGCATTAAATTCTGGATGCAACGTCTTTATTGTCCTTGCAAATGTAAAACAATTTTCCATCTGTTTTGCCAAAATTCCACATGTTTTTCGGCTCGTGCAAAATGAGCATTTTAGTATCTTTGGCTTGATACGCTCTCTGTTGCAAGCGTGTGTTTGGTTGCATTGCTTTTTAAAATATAATAAAAGTTACATAATCGCACATTCATTGGAAACACTATTAACTTTAACCTCACATTAAAGGTTAAATAGTTCTTTTGCAACACAAGAAACTGAGTCTTTGGCTGCCAGAGAGTAGAAAGGGGAGTTTTGTGCATTTTAGTGAAGCATAAAGAAGCTATTAGAAAAAAATGAGAGGATGAAACACGCGTAAAAACGCAACTAAACGAATACTGTACTTGTTGTTGCCTCACATCATGTCAGCCGAGCACTGGGCACATCTGGAGGGAGCAGGACATCCACTTTTTTAAGACTGGCCCCCAGAAAAGGAAAGGGGCGGGGTCAGAGCTGGTGTTGGATTTCACAGCCAGAGAACGTGACTGCGATGGTTGCCTTCGCGAAAGCCGTGCCAAACTTGCCTGCTCTGTGAAAGCGGCTCTCCGTCTCTTAACGCACCTTACGGTTCGCCGGTGGGGCTTAACGTCCCTTGGAACCGGCGAGAGCCACCGTTTGCAGATTGGAGAGTCGGCGGAAAACTTTGAAAAAGAGTACCACCACGGAGAAATACAGCTGCGCGGCTGAACTTCCACCAGCAGCCCGAGGGGACCGGGAGGAGGAGTCAACAGGTCCCAGGTATTACCATCCACTTGCCATTGACAGCTTGTCAACATTTGACAGCATGCGTCCATGTCTCAGCTTCTACAGGAGGTGAACCGGGCACCGTATTACACAGTTTGCCTTTTCACCTGGAGGGTTTTGAATGCGTCATGCATGGCCACGGTGATAATGTGCACGGGAGTGACAGGTTTTCTTCCAGACCGCGTTCGTTGTTAGAAACGGACTGAACAACCGGAGTCCGAAACTCGTGTCAAGTTAGTAGCCTGTTTCGCGGCCACTAAAATAAAATACAAGAAAGCTAATTGTGTGTGTGTCCGGGCGACATTATATTCACTGGATACGGCGTCTGTTAGGGCGGCTAGCATGCAAAGCTAACGCTCCTCTGCTCCTATATGTAGCCTGTAAAGACGTCGGGCACATTTCAGCGCTGACACTTTCCTCGAGTCAATTAACAGAGCCGACTTGCCCTTTATTCAGCTTTGCATTGTTAAAAAAAAAGTGCCCAAATATTGAGTTAAAACATGCAGTGCTGTGTGTCTGAGCGTCTGTACCCACTTGTTTGTTTTTGCAGCGTCAGGACAACGGAATGTGGAGAAAAATGTATTTTTAGACACCCTGCTTTCCCCAAATATGATCAGTATTGGCTCGTTGTGGGCTACCTTTGGCTTGAGGTGAACTTTGCTCGAGTGCACGGTGTACTTTGCTGTTAATACCGATCATATCAGGAGCCCATTTCCTCCCCTCGGTGTGCTGTAAATGGATGAACAGGCATAGCTCACAGAGGGGCAACCACAGCCTGCATTCTTCTGATGTGCTCTAATACTGAGCTGCAAACTTGATGACCCAAAACACACATGCATTCTTCTGAAAGCCTCAAAGTTACCCACTGCAAACTGACAGATATGCCCCTAATTTGCTAACACCCCTGATTAACCCCTGTCAGGATAATTTGGCAACTTGAGGTGTCTGGATCTCTGCAAATTAAATGTCAGGACTATGTTGTAATATCTGAGTTACATACCCTGCAGCATCAGAAAGTCATCAGCGTTATCTTGTAAAATGTTGTCTCGTGAAACCACAGATTGCACATTACCCTTCATTTACGGCTCTAACAAGTACTTTCTAGATGTTTCCCTTTTTATTTGAGTAATCTGTGAAGTCTGTGAGCTTTATGCAGTTGGCCCGGGTGTGATTTGTTGAATGATATTTTATGACACAGATTTATGATGCCTCGCCGATCATCTATAACACTGGCTGCAGACATGGCAGTGCAGACACATTTTTTACTGGGGTGGGGCTGGTAGGAGAAGAAGATGCCCTTTCCTGTGACAACCTGTGACATTCAGAGCAAGATGCATTAGAGGTCGAGTCACTCAGTGGGAAATTTGGTGCGTTTGAGGGTTTTCCCACCCTGTCACCTCCTCTGTTGGTGTGATTCACAGTTAAATGTTGTGCCACTGCCTTAATTGTGAAGGCTCGGGCTAAATGCAAGATTGAATACTTGCCCTGGAAACTGTCAGGTATTATAATAACTTTGATAATAACCTGTAGGTGCTTGATAGAGCTGTTTTAAGATGCTGCCTAGCTGTCTTGTAATACCTAATCCCATGTCATATAGGTCCTGTTTCAAAGAGGTTATCTAAAATGTATGATGTTGACATTCAAATAAATCTCAAATAACATAGTAGGAAAGTTTTGGGGAGATTATATCCTCAAATCTTTGTTGATAGCAGCTCCAGTCATGTGTTTTTTCTTGTGCTGCCTCCTCCTATATAGCAGAAATCATTCTTTAAACAATATATTCAAAACTGAAGAGCCCAGAAATTAAGTGTGCGTCTTTAAAATGCTCAGCTGCTCGGTGTTGTGCATGTTTGTCAAAATGCAGTGGTGTTCTGTTGCACAGCACGAGGCAGTGTTTTTTTTTTTTTTTTTTTTTTTAATGCGATACTGTCAACCCTCTCTGACAAGCATCAACGGGAAGTTGGTTCTCTCCTCGAGTAAGCAATGCCAGTCAAAGGCCTCGCACGCCTCGGCTTCACGTGGCACTAAATGTGTCATCATCGTGACGGCGGTGGCACACTCACTTTGCCCCCTCACATCCCCCACTCCCTCGCAATGTCCCTTTCCTTCCTCTGCAGATTGTAAAGTCAAGTGTGAATGACACTGGAAGGGAATTTTTTTTTCCTTCTTTGTTCTGTAAAAACACAGTAGTAGTGCGTCAGTGGCTCCTAGCTCTGTCAGTTTTATTAGTCACGTTTGATGGGTTTAATTTTGCGTATCACCTGTGGAAGAAATGACTTTATTAGATGAGAAGCGATGAGTTATTAAAGGATGGTGAGATTGTTCACGTTTAGATACATCTGTGTGCAGAATGTTTGGCGGTTCAGTCTGCCAGCTGATTCTGCTCAGCTGTTTTTTTTCGAACACATTGTCTGTGCAATGGTATAAAACTAGCTTCGACTTTGCATGTTGAATTTATAAGTTTTGAGTGACCTATTTTTACATTGCATGTAAAGTCAGAGAGCGGGCAGAGTGTTTTTCCTTCCTCATACAATTATCAGACGTTTCTAAGTGTTAACAAATCCTTTTGATCTCAGTCACAAGATAGCACCCTTCACAAAAAACACATAAACCACCATTTGTAGGTGGTGAAAATGCAGATTTAGCAGGCTTCGTCTATTAAAAGAGAAAAGGAAATATTTGAGAGATACTCTTGCTGACGTTTGGCATTGGACCTAGCGTTCTGTGAAAAAGCCCTCAGTGTGTCAGGTGGTTTGGTTTGCTTTGGTCTGTAGTGGTCGACACTCGACACACAGCCTCGCCACAGCAGCCTGCTCCCCTGTTGCTGACGAGCCGGGCTGGCTCATGAGGCCATGCAGCACAAACTCATCAGGCACTGACAGATGAGACATGCTCTCTACAATGACAGGGCACCCTGGAGATGTCACCCAGTGCTTGCCTAACGGTAAACACCTCTACCCTGTCCCACCCACACACTGTCAGATTTTGACTGCTAGTAGCTCTCTTTCTGGAGTAGGAAGTACTTAAAATGGAAAACCACACTGCAGAATTAGAGTTTCAGTCACTGCAAATAGGAAAAACCAGTGGGCTAGCTTTTTAGACTTTGTTTTGATGTGTACATGTGTTGGTTTACCAATTTATTATTGTTGCCAATAGTTCGTCAGCAGGCCTTGGCCTAATAAAACAAACAGTTACTTCTACAAATGGAGTGCAGTGGAACCAAGCAGTGTAGCTTTACGCTAATAAAACCAGCCTTGACCTAAATGAAACAGGCCCCGACTCTGTCAGAATAAGTAGAAATAAATTGGGATATTACAGTGGTTTGGCAGTGGTGCCCAATGACGTAGTCATTGCCTTAGGGACTGGGGCGAGTGTGGGAAAAGCAGGAGAGAAGAAGGGTGGGAGCCGATACCGGGAGAGTGTAGCCGGAGCCGAGTGGGATTTTTTTGGAGGGGGAGTTCTGGAGCCGCTGTGATGTCGGGATGTGGGAGCTCCACTCACATTGGCCGGCGGCAGTTAGACAGGCCCGCTTTTGCATACTGATTCCCTTTCAGCTGCTGTTCTCTGGCCTGCCCGGCCCTACCAGCCCCACAAGGGTTAACTGCCCCCCTTTTTCCACACCGCCTCCTTTTATTCCTCTTTTTATGGCTTTGATGGTATTAAATAATCTTTACGTGTCAGAGTGCACAGCTCCCAGTGTTCATGTCAGGAGAGCGAGAGAGCAATTAGGTCAGAGTGGTAGAATAAGTCGGTTTCATCCCAGCCTTAAAGCGGCAGGGCACCTCACTTCAACTTGCTCTTTGTATTCACCTCAAACCTTCAGAGTGAGATTTTCAAAGAGGTCCAAGGCCAGTGGGGTTATCAAAGCACTCAGAGAGAGAACTTTGTATCTCTCCGTTGTATAGTCTCATGATAAAACATCCCAGAATGGATCATCGGTTGTGATATTTTAGGTTCCTCACTATGTTAATTTGCCTGAAGAATCAGGCCACGTTTGTCTCTTTTTCCTAATGAGGCTGAGCTAAAGACCCATATAACCTATTATCCTGGTTATTGATTTGGAATGTGTTTCAAGCTACTGCTTGTTTTGGTAGACCTTGAAATCATTGGCACATTTATATGCAGAGTTGTACTGCTTGTTCAAAGACAAACAGGTCTTTAACGTTGGGAATACACTATACAATTTGAGCTTGTTTTAGAAATGTTGTTCAGTGAACCACAGGTGGTCATTTGAGTTATATGGTTTGATGTTATATGGTTGTAATTATGGTTATATTCATGTATGTTGAAAATGTATCTGAAAATTAGCCAAATAAAATCCAAAATATGAAAACTTTATTTACAAAATCCATAGACTGAATATGTATCTTTATGTACAGTCTGTGCACAGTACGTCATACAAGTGTCACATCTTGAGTTGATTATAGAGACCACCAAAATCATCTACCTCAGTGTCAAGTAAATCAGATGTGATATATGATTGTAATATTTGATAATCCCATAAAAATAATATAATAATCCATGAACAATTTAAATAAGCTACTGTATAAATGTAGTAGTTCAATATTTTGGGAAATATCTATAATATATCTTTCTGTCTGAGAAAAGGATTTATGTTTACTTTTCACTGATTGAGACAATGAACAAAATGGTATCTTGTCTTGTGCGGGATATATGACATATACGGTAAGAAAATGGTGGCCGCCAGTGAAAATATTTTCAACACAGCGCGTTCGCTGGACAGTTAAACATGATCTGTCATCAACCATGTGAGTCAATGTTGTCGAGATGACTGAATGCAGTATCTGCTGTCACAGCAAACATTACAATGTAAGATAACATGAATGTCTGTAGTATTATCCTGTGTATATGTGAATTCGTTTTTCAAGAATACGTATTTTCTTTATTGACAATTTTCAATAAAAAAATAGGAATTTGAGCACTCTGGGTCTGCAGGCCAGGAAGAAGTTTGTTTGCTAGCAGAGGTCTCGGAT